CACCCTTGGTTTAAAGATTAAAATACAATATTTTGTTGATAAATACTAATCTTATATATATAATATATATTTCATTACTTTAGGAAAACGATTGTTTTACCCACCAAACCGACGTCCACTCTTACACACCCTTGGTTTAAAGATTAAAATACAATATTTTCTTGTTAAAAACTTACCTTGCTTATCCATAATAAGGTTATTCAATGCAATATCCAAGGTTAAAATTTCTCAAATTCCATTTACTTTCCTTGTCTCCTCGCTTTCTCTTTCTTCCTCCATGACCATTTCTCCGCCTATCTCCTTGATATGTTGAAGGAGAACCCAAATTTAGGTTCTCTAAGAGAACCCATGAGACCTCAAGGAGAATCTAGATTTGGGTTTTAAATAAAAAAATAAAAAGAAAAAAGCATTTGATGTAAACATGTGGGGTTTTGTGGTTCTTGAAAGACATGGATATTTCTCGATTTTTTTCTATTGTCATCCTTATTAAATACTTGGTTAAACCCCTATTTTAGTCCCTGAACTATTGTACGGACCCCCGATTTGATCCCTGAACTAAAGAAATCCCTAATTTGGTCCTTGAACTATTGTACGGACCCCTGAGTTGATCCCTAAACTATTGTACTAACTCCTAAGTTAGTCCCTAAACTATTGTACGGATGCCCAATTTGGTCCCTATTGTTTACCAATTTAACCCCAACTTGGTCCTTCTGTTAAATAATAGCTCAGGGACCTAATTGGGGCGAAATTGTAAACAGTAAGGACCAAATTGGGGGTCCATACAATAGTTCAAGGACCAAGTTAGGCCAAATTATAAACAGTGGGGACCAAATCAGGGGTTCATACAATAGTTTAAGGACTAAATCAGGGATTTCTTTAGTTCAGGGACCAAATCGGAGGTCCGTACAATAGTTCAGGGACCAAAATGGGGATTTAACCTAAATACTTTTACATTCATTTTTGCAGCAGACAGGGCAAGTCATTTCCTTTTGAGAGGGATTTTCAGTATTCCGAATGGGGTACAATTGTTGTTGATTTTAAATTTGGATTGGATAAATTTATGAAAGATTAAAAGGCGATTGTTAAAGAGAACTCCTAAGCAAAAGAAGCTTTTAAAGATTCTTCTATTTTAAATTTGAATTGGGTAAATTTATTGACGTTTAAGTATCAATCTTAATGAATTGCAAAGAGGATCTCAAAAGTTTAACTGCTAGATGTGAGAGAAGAAAGGGAGTACAGTCAAAAGAAGGTACAAGCTACATAAGGGCGTGAGTTTCCAAAAGAGTGGGGTCGAGCAATTGCTGCAAACACTGCTCAAACAAAAATAACAATGTGTTTTATGTTTCGCAACCGATTTAAGCTGTTTGGAAAAAATTCAAAACCATAAAATAATAATTTTATAAGTGGTGTGTGGTGAATGGTGCCGGTTCGTGGGCGTGCACCTATCAACGTCCATTACTTTAATCTGTCCACTCTCTTTATCTTAAAAGAACTCATCTTTTTACTTTTTCTCAAAATTAAAGATTTAAGAATAATATTTGTATTCATTTACTATACCTTTAAAAAAAGAATAAGTGATAAAAATAGAGTTTTTATGATTGGATGATTAATTAAAGCAAATGGATAATAAGAGGATTAAAGTAGAAAATAAGTATTTATTTTCCTTAAAAATAAAAAAAATAACACTTAATTTAGATAAATTCAAAGTATAGTTATTTTAAAATAAAGTGAGTACATTTTAAGAATATAATATACAAGAACAGCTTTTTTAATAAAGACTAAGTGTTAAGAAGAGCTTAAAAAGCAAGGCATTAAGTAAAATTTTCTCTCATAAATTTAAAATTTTGTTAAAAGAAAATTTAAGAATCAATATTTAAAGTGGCTTTTACAAGTTTTGAGAAAGTTTAGATGTCTAATTTTTTCAAATTTTGCTAAAAAGCTACTTTAAAAGTCAATTCTTAAATTTTTCTCTAACAAATTTTTGAGTTTGTGAGAGAAAAATTTACTTGAAGTAAACTTACTTTTTAAGCTCTCCCAAATGCCTCTAAGAATTAAAACTATACAATTGTTATGAATCAATTCATTATAAATGTTTCGCTTTCTTCATTCTCTCACTTCCCCACTTTTCATGACATTTACACATCAAGTAATGATGTAACTCCCACTACCTTCATGCAATTACAATGGTGATTGACTCCCTAATAATGCCTTACATTTGGAGGTGATAATGGGATTTCTTGTAAACCCTTAATTTGTTGTATCTATGATTTTGATGATTACAAAATACATTTGAGTGACTAATTGGTTTATTTAAGTGTGTAGTTAAGTTGCTAAAAGATTACAAGTAAACTTGGATTGCACTAAAAATAGACCAAAAGGATTCAAGATGTGCAGAAAGCCAGCTCTGGTAAAGTGCAGTCGGCTTTGGTGAATGGAAGTGCAGAGAGCCGGCTCTGGAAGCTACAGCCGGCTCTACAGGCAAAAATTTGAAGACCGTTGTTTGGCATGTGCGGAGAAAAGATGCAAAGCCAGCTCTGGCTTTGTAGCCGGCTGTGAGGATGCATTTAATGCACAACGGTCGAGTCATTTGAATATTATTTAATGTATTTAAAGTCGGAGTTGCAAAGCCGGCTCAAAGTTTTGCAACCGGCTCTCAAGAAAAACAGAATGTGCTGCAACTCGGATAGTCGGCTCTGACAGTGTAAGCCGGCTCTAGAAAGTGTAAGCCGGCTCTAGAAAGTTAAGCCGGCTTTCCTGACAATTATGCAGCTCAAGGTTTGCGTCCTGCAGAGCATTTAATGACCCCCAACGGCTAGAAACGGCTATTTTTGAGCAAGGGGCTATAAATATGGTTGGTAACAGATGTGAAGAAGTTTAGAGAATATTGTATTGAATATCTTTACCTACCAACTTGTGCTTTAACTTGAGATTTTGATCTTTGAGAGATCTTTGTTTGTAATCCTCTTCTTGTGCTATTAGTGAGTGATCTTGGGGATGTGTTGATTCCTTCAAGAGTGATCTATAGAGAGGATCTTTGGGATTTAAGTGTAAAGGAGTGAGATTTGAGAGAAACCCTTCTTCTTGTAAAGGATTGAGTGGCTCCTTTAAGCCACCATTGTTTTTGTTAGTGAAGAGTGTGGAGGAAATCCTTGGTGAGTGAAGCCAAGGTAGAGGACTAGGCTCCAAGTGGTTGGACCGAACCTCTATAAAATCATTATGCAAGCTCTTCTTCTTAACTCTCTCTTTAATTTTTGTTTGATGGTTGCAAAGAGGTGAAAATTCTCCAACTCCAATTCGCCCCTCCTCTTGGAGTGCATTGAGTCAACAATTGGTATCAGAGTAAGGGCTCCAATTTGAAGGTTTAATCACCTAGGACTTGATCAGGGATGGCTCAATTTCTATCTTCTTAACCACTTGAAGGTTTGTCTACCACTAGACCTCCTTTCTTTGATGGGACTAACTATAATTATTGGAAGAATAGGATGAGGGTCTTCATGCTTGCAAATGTGCCCACGGCATGGATTGTGACTATAAAAGGTCCATATGTACCTATGAAAGTTGTTGGAGAAAGAGAGGTGCCAAAGGAAGAAGTTGAATGGAATGATGAAGACTTGGAGAAGATCATGATCAACAACAAAGCAATCAACATGCTTCAATGTGCTCTCAATCCAACGGAATTCCATAGAGTTTCCGGGTGTGATATGGCTAAGGAGATGTGGGACATGCTAGAAGTCACTCATGAAGGAACAAGCCAAGTAAAGGAGTCAAAAATCAATAGACTCATTTACATGTATGAGCTTTTCAAGATGAAACCAAAGGAGAGCATTCAAGATATGAATACAAGATTGAATGACATAGTCACTAATCTCAAGGCTCTTGGTAAAGTCTATCCTCCTTAAGAAGTGGTGAGAAAGGTTCTTAGAAGCTTGCCTAAGAGTTGGGAAGCCAAGAAGACGGTAATTGAAGAATCTAAGGATCTCAACACTCTCAAGCTTGAAGATCTCATTGGTAAATTGATGACATATGAGATAGAAGTTCAAGGTGAAGGTGGAGTTGAAATAATTGAGAAGAAGAAGAAGGATGTTGCATTCAAGGCTAGCAACCAAAAGGAAGAGAGTGAAGATGATGCTGGTAATGATGAGTGTAGCAATGAGGACATCACCAAATTGATTTCAAAGGAAGTGAGGAGATTCATGAAGAAGAACATCAAGAGCAAGCTTGCAAAAAGAGATGAAGGAGAGTCTACAAAAAGGAGTGTGAAATGCTATGAGTGCAACAAGATGGGGCACTATAGAAATGAATGTCCCAAATTGAAGAAGGGTGAAGGGAAAAACAAGAAGAGCATGAAGAAGAAAGCTTTTACCGCCACTTGGAGCAATGATGAGACTAGCTCAACAGAAAATGAAAGCTCCTTGGAAAATGGTGTTGCAAATCTTTGCTTCATGGCTCAAGAGGATAGCTACAATGATTAGGAGGTAAACTCTAACTTCTCTAGTTCAACTAATGAAAGTTCGTTTGAGTACTCTTATGATGATTTATGCAAAGTTCTTGATTGCTCTATGAATGACATTAAGAAACTAGGAAATGACAATATTGCTCTTACTAAAACCATTTCATTACTTAGGAATGAGATTGAATCTCTCTCTAAACAAAATGAGGTTTTAGTTAAAGAGAATGCCTTTTTAAATGGTAAGATTCCTTCTTTAAAGAATGAGGAGTCTAATAATGCTTTGAAAAAGGAAAATGAGGATTTAAAGAAAGGAAATGAAGATTTAAAGAAGGAAGATGAGGTTTTAAAGAGAAAAGCTTGTGATCTTGAAAATGTGATTTCCAAATTTACTTTGAGTAAAGAAAAATTTGATGCTATCTTAAAATCTCAAAGAAATGTTTATGACAGAGGGGGCATTGGATTTGATTATTCTAAAAAGCAAAAGACTTTTAAGACTACCTTTGTAAGAGCAAGTCAATCCTATCATCCTAATGTTACTTACTATTGTTGTGGTGCAAATGGACACTTTGCTTATGTATGTCCTTTGAAGAGATTGATAGCTCAAGGTAAAGTGAAGCAAATTTGGGTTCCAAAAGGAACTTTAAGCACTAACCCCCATGGACCCAAGCAAATTTGGGTACCAAAAATCAAAACTTAATTTTGTTTTGTAGGAAAAGTTGATGGCAAAGTCACTAAGGAAAGCAAAGTAGATCTTAAAAGGACTTGTGCCTCAACAAGAATGTTGGAGTGGAAGTGCAAAGGAACTTTGTTTTTGAATGCTCTACTCATCTGCTCAAATTGGTATTATTTATTTTATTGCATTTATTCATTGAGTATAATTACTTTAACATGACTATTAATGATTTGTTTATATGTATTCACTCTTTGATATATATGCTTGTTGAATATGATATCATTTGATGTGATTATTAAAATTTATGCAAATTAATTAGCTTGGCATGTTGGATCCTAGTGCTTAATATGATTTTTGAAATTAATGAATTTAATTATTAGAATTTGTGTACCTTGATCATATTCATGCTATTTGATGATGAATACATTGATATATGACTAAAGTTGCATTATCTAGTGGTTGATGTCCAATTTAAACTTAGTTAAATGACGAAATATCAAATTAAGATGCATTCCCTTCAAAGCAGCCCCAAACTTTCTGTTTGTCTCAATCAAGGACAGTAGAGCCAGCTCAAGCATTTTCACAACCGGCTCCACCAAAAACCCGAGAGTCTTCTCTCTCTAAAGTGAAGCCGGCTCCAAGACTAGAGCCGGCTCTCCTGCAGCTTTTTGAATATTTGGCCTTTTCTCTCTAGAATTAAACAAGCTCCAAGACTAGAGCTGGCTCTCCTGTAGTTTATGACTTTTGGTATTGATTATCTATGATTTTGATGATTATATGCTCTTATTGAGGGGGAGTTTATTGGTTGATGATTGTATTCATGACTTTTGTTGTCTATGGTGCAATATTGATGATGATTGATGATTATATTCATTACATAGTCTTGATGCTTTAAAGGTTGATAGCATGAAGTAAGGGGGAGCATTTTGTGCTTAAATATTACTTTTCTTAATGGTTATCATGCTTAAATGCTTTAAAGATTGATGTGCATGAATTAAGGGGGAGTTTGTTGATTATGTAATTTTTGATGAATGACAAAAAGGGGGAGAGAATATGCTGAATTTAATGTCATTTTCTAGAGTACCTTGTGCCGAAATTTTGATTAATATTGAAGTATTTATGTGCTCTCATTAATTAATTCTCAAAGTGTTTTGTCATCATCAAAAAAGGGGAGATTGTTGTACCTATGATTTTGACGATTACAAAACACATTTAAGTGACTAATTAGTTTATTTAAATGTGTAGTTAAGTTGCTAAAAGATTACAAGTAAACTTGGATTGCACTAAAAATAGACCAAAAGGATTCAAGATGTGCAGAAAGTCGGTTCTGGTGAATGGAAGTGTAGAGAGCCGGCTCTGGAAGCTGCAGCCAGCTCTGGAAGCTGCAGCCAGCTCTACAGGCAAAAATTTGAAGACCGTTGTTTGGCGCGCGCGGAGAAAGACGCAAAGCCGGCTTTGGCTTTCTAGCCGGCTGTGAAGATGCATTTAATGCACAACGGTCGAGTCATGTGAAGATTATTTAATGTATTTAAAGTCAGAGTTGCAAAGTCGGCTCAAAGTTTTGCAACTGGCTCTCGAGAAAAACAGAATGTGCTGCAAACCCGGATAGCCGGCTCTGAAAGTGTAAGCCGGCTCTAGAAAGTTAATTCGACTCTCCTGACAATTCTGCAGCTCGAGGTTTGCATCCTACAGAGCATTTAATGACCCCCAACGGCTAGAAACGGCTATTTTTGAGCAAAGGGGCTATAAATATGGTTGGTAACAGATGTGAAGGAGTTTAGAGAATATTGTATTGAATATCTTTACCTACCAACTTGTGCTTTAACTTGAGATTTTGATCTTTGAGAGATCATTGTTTGTAATCCTCTGCTTGTGCTATTAGTGAGTGATCTTAGGGATGTGTTGATTCCTTCAAGAGTGATCTATAGAGAGGATCTTTGGGATTTAAGTGTAAATGGGTGAGATTTGAGAGAAACCCTTCTTCTTGTAAAAGATTGAGTGGCTCCTTTAAGCCACCATTGTTTTTGTTAGTGAAGAGTGTGGAGGAAATCCTTGGTGAGTGAAGCCAAGGTAGAGGACTAGGCTCCAAGTGGTTGCACCGAACCTCTATAAAATCATTGTGCAAGCTCTTCATCTCAACTCTCTTTTTAATTTTTGTTTGGTGGTTGCAAAGAGGTGAGAATTCTCCAACTCCAATTCACCCCTCCTCTTGGACTGCATTGAGTCAACATAATTAGTAGGAGATTAATTCTTGTAACCTCCCATTTAATGGGTGTTTCCTTGTAACTCCTATCACCTATTGACCTCTATATATAGGGTTTGTATTCTTGCAAATGTATGGAGAACAAATGGAGAAGAAAGGAATATAAACATAATATGTTTTTGCATTGCCTCACTTTGTCTTCTAATTTTTCTTCTTCTTCTAATTGATTCTTTTTTTATTTTACAACACGTTATCAACACAAGTTGTCTCAACATAAAGTACTATTCATGAATCCTATTTGAGATGATGAACAAATTGAGGTAAAAATACAAGTTGAGGTAAATTTTTGAGGTAAGATTTTGCAACAATCTAGTCTTTTAATTTCTTGTTTTCTAATTTGAATATTCTATAGTGCTATAACGATTTTCTTGTTTATATGTTATTTAGTACTTGTCAAAAACTTGAGTTCATTGCTCTTGATAAATTTTGCTTCAACTATTTGTCATGAACTCTTAATGTGAAAGTTCATTTACCTCCAATGAATGTTGAAGATTCAATTGTAGAAAGAAATAAAGCATCTCTTAAAGAAAGAAACTCTTCTTGAAGGAAAAGAAAGGCATCTTTGAAGGATTGCGATGAAATGATATTTCTTCATGATGAAGTCTAAAAATGACTATGAGATGAATATTTGATGATGAATGATGAATGATTCATTGGTTCATGGAATTGTTTGGAAGAAAGATGATCATCAAAAGAAAATTATAACTCTTCCAAAAAATTAGCCATGAATGGATCCATTTATTATGCAAGTATAAATTTGCAAATATTTTGAATCATTTTATGTAGAAGAAAAATTATTATTGATGAAGACATACTAGAGTAGATATACTCTTTTTTTCATGCCTCAAATATGCTCCAAAAGTAGCAAACTCAAGAGGGTAATTTTAACATGTATATTCAAAGTAAATACATGTCTTCTTATTGCCAACAAAATTATGAGTTGATGAAAAATCATTGATCACAACCATTGGTTTGATTCCTTTGAAAAGAATGTGACATGGTATTATAATCATAGTTATGGATATGGTTGTGAAATGAAAAGATTTGCAAAATAAGTTGGCAATGGATTTGAGAGTTCTTATTATAGATGTACCATGAATGAACATTGATCACATATTTTTAGTATATTCAAGCAACTCATATGCCTATCATATATCTCCAAGTATTTGATTAATTTATTACAAGTTAAACCTAATAAGAAGAAAAAAGGTACAAAAACAAATTTGTGGAAATTAATATTATGGATATGTATTTGTGATATTTGTGATACAAAATTTTATTTTATTAGAGAAAAATATCTCAAACATTTGAGAAATTAAATATATATCCCAATGTAGGGATTATGAATTAAAAAGAGAATTCTTTTTGACTAAATTTCATCAAGAAACTTAATACAGATGGGTCGATGATAGGGAATCCGGGGTTAGGTGGCTGTGGAGGAGTATTTCGAGATTTGTAAGGCCAATGGATTCTTGGATTTACTTGAAATATTGTTTTCACCACTGCACTAGCTGTTGAATTATGGGCCATCAAAGATGGACTCCATTTGGCTTTCAATTTGCACTTCAATCATATTATTATTGAAACTGATTATTATGTTGCTTTCCAATTAATCTCTACTACCCCTAATCCTCACCACCCTCACAGTACTCTCATTCTTGATTGCAGGGCCCTTCTAAACAAGATTCCCCATGCTCGTCTAAGGCATGTTTTCAGGGAGAGTAATATGGTTGCTGATACCATGGCCAAGAGGGGTGTGCAGTCTTCATCGAATTTTGCTATTCTGTATAACTGCCTTGTAGATGTTGAATTGCTTTGTTTAGCTGATGTTGTTCGGGTTGGTTACCCCAAAACCTGATTTTGTGTGTGTTTAATGATATTTCCTTTATTACCAAAAAAAAAAATCATCAATAAGAATTAATTTTCCATGAGAAGATGAAAAGCAAGAATGTATATATGAATGGATATGAATTTTATAATAACATTTCTCATATAGGGAATTTAAATCCCAAAGTTTGAGATTCATATTAATCTCATCTAATATCTCTTAATGTAGAGGTTACATATTGGCAGAGATATACTTTGAAAAAAGGCATCTTTATTATAGTGATGAAATAAAAGATAAAAGGTTAAAATTGTATAAAGCATTGCTATCACATAAGGAAGGTATACTGATGCCTATGTGATAAGTAAAATATAGCATAT